CACAGTGCAAAGAGCTGGCGCAAAGAGGTGGAAGGAGAAAGAGGGAACTTGCAAAGTTCTGAGGAGTCTGTAAAATGTGGAGAAGCCTCCAATATCTGTGTGTGCCTGTGAGCATCTGCTTGCTGTCTAATGGCTTCAGCTGCAGAGCAAGAGCAAACCTTGAGATGCTGTGCTTGCAGGGTGTCTTTATTAGTACTCCCTCGCTGGATCTGTTCTCCAGAAGTAGCTCTACCTGTTTGTCTCTATTTCCAGCAGAGCAAAACTTCAGGATTTTGGATGGTCTTGCCTGCTGATATTCATATTCTTCTCAGGACTGCCAGCTTTATGTGGACCACAGTTCATCTCTGCAGGGGTATGGCTCTAACTGGCTTTTGGTCTTAAACTTTCCTTTAATGCACTGTTCATAGTTGATCTGTTCATAGCTGCTTCATTACAGACCTTGCCAGTATGTTTTTCAAAAGAAAATACTAGTTTGACAAAGTAAAGCAAATCATTAAAAATACTTCTGCAAACACAAACCTGCATGAACATAAGGGAGATGCTGCAGTTGAGCAAGAAAAAGACATGAAAAAATTCCAGATTTAAAAGCTAGATATAGGAGGCCCTTCCAGCCTAGTTATTCTCTAACTGAAAAATCAGGCTTTGCTACAAGGGCTGCCCTGAGCACCAGGAACATAACTCCAGATTTTAATGTGGACAAATGATATCCAAGTATTAAGAGCTGGACTCAGTAATCCTTAGGGGTCCCTTCCAACTCTCGGTACGCTGTGAGTCTATGATTGAATAGGAAAGAGTTTGTGTAAATGTTTGAAGGTATTCTCTAAAAATGCCTCTCTCCAAAAAAACAGGTACTCCTGGTCAACAGGAGTCCTGGAGAAGAATGGTGCACCTTCAGCTCTGCACACAGCTTCTCAGGTTCCTTCTCTTCCAACAATCTGGTGTAAAACCAGGCTCTTTCCTCCTGATTTCTGTACAGCTGCTCCTATTTGGCCTGAGCACCTGTGGAAGGCAAAGCCCTTCACTTTATTTCCACGTGGCTCCCATCTATTGTTGGCACAAAAAGTTACAATCAAGTTTCATTTGATGCCATTTAAGATGCAGTAGCTGATATTCAAGGTCAAGATCCTGCGCCTGCGCCAAAGTAAATAAATGTTTTGCACTTGCTCAGTTCAAGGAAGTTGTATTTTTTGGTCAAAAACTGTTTGGGTACAGGTATATGTACCTCCTCTGTGACCTCCTGTTCTTACATTTGTCTTCAGACATCAAAGATGCCCCTTGGTAGCTCATCTGCAGATGGGCATTCAGTACATCCAGCAGTGTCCTCAGGTCAGCACAGGAGAGGTCTAACCGAAACATCACGTTTTCCCAAAAATACAGCATCAGTTTGAATGATAAGAGCCACATACAGACATAGTCAGGTTTGATTTCCTCAGTTTTGCTGATAAGGGCAGAAATGTGGGGGACCTTTAAATTTTTTTTTTTAATATATATACATATATTTATACATAAATATATTTATATTTAATATATATACATGTATTTTCAGCTCATCCTTCAGTTGCCTTTGCTATGGAAAGCTTACACTATGATGTCTGTTTGGGTAAGATTTTTGCAAGATGAAAAATGAGCATCTGAAAGTGTTTATTCAGTGATCAGTAAGTAGTTATATCTGAGGCCGATGCAATGTAGCTCCAGTTTTCAAACAGTAAACTCCACGTAGCCTTATATAATTTGGGAGGGAAAATCATCTCTCTGGTTTTCTTATATTTCAGTAAACCATGTATCTGTGTCCAAGAACTTTTCAGCTCATTAATTCAGCTGCAATATAAAATATATACAAAATTAGGGTATGGTTTTCAAAAACAGGCACCTAAAATGAAGTTTCTAGATCCATATTTAGACCCATGAATCTGATTTTCCAAGCTACTAACCACTCGCCAGACTGCGCAGGATGCTGATGGGAGCTCAGCACTTCTGAAGGTGGCTCCACTCAACAACAGCATCCAACTTTCTGACAGCCTTCTGGCAGAGACAGTTTTCACAAGCTTCATAAAACACAAAAGGCCAAAACAACATGTCCTGCAATTATCCACACTGCAAAACAATCTTAATTAATAATGATATCATCGCTACTCCCCCTACCCTTAAAGTGCCGCTGAAAAGTTTTGCCTTTCCTTCATTTTCTCTCCCTTCTCTCTAATACTTAATCCTGTACTTCAAGTTTTTATCACACCATCAACCTGATTTCAGCGCTGTTTGTTGTGTGCTGTGTAAGGTTTTACTCTTTCTTATCACTGGGATTACTCACCTTCCTATATGCTCAGTGATTACAGCCTCAGGGGACACACATTGTCCCACAAAATACTCAGATTTGGTTTTGTGTCTGTACAAAGCTGATCCCAGTGACACAGCAAAGATTTAGATAAGGTTTAAAAAAACCAACAAGAAAATTGAGATCAGATTTCTGCCTTTATCCAAATAAGCACATTAAGGAAAAAAATTCAATAAAAGTATTAAATGCTAAACTCATGTAAGTTTAGAACATTAATTTGATTAATGTTTAGCCAGTTATTCATTCTCCTTTCCATAAAGATGCCACCTCTGTCTAAGACTGATCCTGTTTGTATTTAAGTTGTATTTTTTGACCAAAAGTCATTGGGGCCAACTGGAGTCAGCAGTTTGATCACTAAAGCCAATTATTTTTTTTTCTGTTGGATTTGTGAAGGAGGATGTCAAATTTTGACATCTCAGCAAGGTGAAAATTGGAAGGAAAGGCCAGTTTGGCCTTTCCCAGAACTAAGACCCTACTGAAAACACAGCAGTACCTCCCTGATGCAATCTATACATTTGAATGCCCCTCTTTTGGCTTAGCTAGAGAGATTCCCTAGTCAATTCAGACTGCTCAAGCTTAAAATACAGAATCTTTCTGTGCTTTAAGAGGGCATACATGAAAGATGATGACAAATTTTTTAGCAGGGTCTGTTACAATAGGACAGGGTATAATTACTTTAAATTAAAAGAGGCTCAATTTAAGCCACATATAAGGAAGAAGCTCTTCATAAAACTTCACTTGTGCCAACGATGAAACACTGGCACAGGTTGCCCTGAGAGGTGCTGGATGTCCCAACCCTGGAAAGATTCAAGGTCAGATTGGATGGGGCTCTGAGCAACCTGGTCTAGTTGAAGATGTCCTTGCTCGTTGCACATCTAGGGGTTGGCCTAGATGATGTTTAAAGGTCCTTTCCAACCCCAACCATTCTTTGACTCTTACTAGACAAATACAAATGGGAGAGGGGAACAACACGAAATCAATGCTAAACTCAAGCAAATACCCAGTATGTCAAGTTTTGGTGGAAGCAGGTGGAGCTGTGCATTTTCAACAGCTGGAAATTAAGTTTCAAGTAGAGTCAAGCAAGACGATTAACACACAGTGCTATCATTCCACTGTGCAGCAGTCACCAGCCAGATGGAAAGCAAGTTTCCATTTTCAAAACAGTTAAGTCAGAACTTTTGTTTTCCCTGCTTGTAACTCCCTTCTATTGTACGTACCATCACCAACACTTTGCACCACTTCCATTTTTCAGTAGTAAATCTGAATGCTTGAATTGTAACTTTTACATGGCACGCTGAACCACCTTTCAGAAACTCCCCAAAACTGTACAAGGTGTCCAAGCTGTTAATTCAGGCACTTGGGTTCAATGCTGCAAACGCTCGCCAGCCTCACCTCTGCACCTCCGAGAAACAGCCGCTCCTGATACTACTCAATATACTCATTCTGAGCACTCTGGCAAGCAGCAAATCTACAAAATCCCACACTGCTCCAGTCTGACACCTTTCCCAGTCACTGGTATGTTTTGACCAGGATTTACAGTCTAAATTAAACAGGATTTCCTCCGCAAGCTCCTGCAGATTACTTATGTTCTGAAAACTCTGACCTGTGGGAATTAGAAAAGGTAACAACACTACTTAAAAATAAAATATCACAAGGCTGAATAATTTTTCAGTGACATACTCAGGTCTCAACAGAGCATTAAATATAATTTTTACAGCGGTCTAAAGAGCAAACCATGGTGCATGACAGAGTGGTTCCCCTGCAGCTCATCTTCAAGTTTAAACACAGATATATTCCTGAAACCACTTAGTTATGCAAGCTATTTACTCACTGGTTTGAAAAAAAAAAAAAAAAAAAAAGAAGTTTAAGCCAGTTGACAGTAAATCCTGACTTGACTGGAATCCCTCAGTCAAAATCACCTAAAGCCCAGGCACCAGCATTCTATCTCAATCCAGCCCTTATGTCACTTGTGTCACCTTGTAACTCTGGTCTTTTTTCTGGTCCACATTCCCAGCAACTCTGATTAATTCCAAACATGGCAATGAGGGATCCTAGAGTACTTCAGAGGAAAATATGGAGCACCTTAAGCAACGTCCTGCCCTCAGATACTGACCAGGCAGCACCACCTTGACTTCTGAAACCCAAGGGCATGGCCTTCTACAACACCAAGTTTTTGTGTTTTATTTCAACACTACAAAGCTTTGTTCACAGTATGGGTGCAACCATCATTTTTTTTAACCTGCAGAAAAAATTATGGTGGGGTCTTGCAACACTTTTGCTGTATTCTAAACATACAAAAAAATTCCCATATTAAAAAACCTGGTTTAGATTTAATTTTAAAAAGTCAATTTGTAGAGCGCTGCGAAAAGTCACATGGACAGTTTTGCGTAACAAAATGCAATTACAATTCCTTTCCATACAGAACTGGCCTGAGCACCTTTTCTCTGTAGATACCTTACTGGCAGCATGACCATTAGCACTACAGAACTCCTGCTGTAGTAAACAGACTTGTCCCTCTTTTCCAGAGGAGCTGTGCTCATCAATGCCGCAGAAACAATCCTTTTGAGTAGAAAAGAGTGGAATGTGGATAGGAAGATCCTTTGACTACTAACATGTGAAATACTGACATCAACCTTAATGCAACACAGAAGAACAGCAACTTGCAAAAAAAAATTGTTGAATGTTTTAATGCATTTTGAATTGTAATGAAGAAAAACATTTTACATCTAAAAACAAATTAGCAGAATAATAAAAAGTGGTTCCACATAACTTATAAATTCCCCAAAAGGTAGTTTTCACAGACTTAGGCAACAAATAAGATGTTTCATTCCAGATCTTTATGACTGTAAATTATACAGAAACTTTGTGAAAACTGATGTGCATTGCTTGAAAGACACAGAAGCTTGGTTTTGCCCAGTGATGAGTTTTCTGTGAAATCCTGCACAATACTGAAACTTTAACTGCAACTTTCCTCCATTTTATGAAATGCTGGACATTGTTCAGTGCTGAGAAACACTCTTTAAAACATTAAAAGCCATGAAATGCTTTCCACATCTTAAGTCAATGTTGTATTATTCACCACTGCTGACATGTTTTGCTTCAAGGGGAATGGTAGTTCTGCTCACCCTTCAGTACAATATATAAAATTAAGCTACGTGATAGTTAAGTGTTCAGCTGATTTAAGTATTAGCCTGCTCATAAGAACGTGGCTCTAGCACCTTGTTTGCTTGATTTTTTTTCAAAATGAAACAATGTAATAACCCATTCCTGGTGCCAGAGGATGGTCCCTCTGGTGATATAAAAAGTTTGCAGCAATGATGATTAAACTGCATAGAGTCCAGTGGTCCTGTATTACATATGTATTAGAGAAGTTCAAACAGACACTTTAGCAGGACCAAAACCAGTGACCCTCTCCCCCACCTCAGGTCATAAAGGACAGCCATTGCTCAAGATACTACATGCAGGCCATGCTGGAGAAACTGCTTTAATTGACCAGATATTTCTCTCTTTTTTTAAACAGCGTAAACCTTTGTAAAATTCTTCCTTTCACCAACTAAAATAGTGAGTCTTCTTTTCTTAAGGAATAAAACCTGTAACTCAACATTAAACAGCTTTACCTGAGCTAAAATCCCAGGAGAAAAAAAAAAAAGTGAAAATAAACTTTGACAGCATCATTTAACTCTTATCAGCAGAAGACTTAAAACTCTGCAGCTGCTTTGTGCAACCTCACTGGTTTTGGTATTTAAGATTACTCCAGCACAGCTGTGTATGCATCTTGTATCCAAAAAAAAGAAAAAAAAAAAAACAAACCTCACAAAAGAAAAAAACAAGGGATCAAACTACTATGAGGACCTGTACTATAAAGATATTACATATACATCCTCCATTAAATATTTTGAGCTTCCTTAATGCTACACTCCAAAACTATGTCTAGGACCTCTGTTTTCCTACAGCTCCTCACTGATGCACTCATCATCCAATACCATTGCACTCCCATGCCCATATATATATGTTAGGTAACAGGAGAACCAGCTAACACAACTGTCTTCACGTCATTATAACAGTGCTGTAGAGGACATGAGCACAGCTATAGTTTCACAAAATCATAATGATGAGATAAAAGCCCCTAATACTTCTGCCAACCCACCATAAACCCCACGATTCCCCCTGTAAGAGTGCACCTTTGGCTTACCCTCACCCTTCATCTTATACTGTGATATGTCAGACAGTTATGGGGGCACCATCTCCCTTTAGCCAAACAGAGGTGTCTGTCTGAAGCAGCCTTCCTGTTCTTTTGAAGGCATCAGCTGCCACTGCATTTCCTTACCTCAGCAGCAGCTGCAGTGTAACACCCCACTGCCAGTGCAAAGAACAGCCAAGTACAGTAAGGAGCAAAACCAGAGTAAGATCATTTGGGAGAAAGAAGGGAGACTTATGTTAATTATCCCCTTCTGGAACAGGACAGGGACGGCAGCAGCCCTTGTCGTGGCTGAGAACAGAAAGGTAACAGGTGATATTTACAGACTGTATTGCTCCACTAGCTTTAAGTGTTAATTACCTTAAGGATCGCATGTAGTATGATTGTCTTTCCTCTCCTGTTAGACAGTACTTCAGGCAGAGACCAAAAGTGCTTTTTTCTAGGCTACAGAGAGATTCGACGAATCTTGACCATCATTTATTTCTGAGGTAGAACTCATTTGCTTTGTATTGCTGGCTCAAAATAAAAATATGGGAAGTGAACACAAATTGAAAATATGCTCACTGTAAGTACATAAACAAAAACACCACCCCCAAAAAAACCTATTTCCTTTCTGGGCAGATCACCAAAAAGAAGTAATCCTTCTTACAAAGGTCAGCTCACATTCACTGGTAAAGTCAAACTTTCATAAATGGTTTATAACAATAGCTATAAACTAAAGTGCTTCAGAATTTGCTTGACCAGATTTCAGTGATTAGAATTATAATATTCTGGATTTTTGCTAGTATGAAATGCAATGAGGTTTTAGAATCACTTTATATAAGAAGGGCAGAATGAATATTTTTCTTTTTTCAAAAAAAAAAAGTAAAAAAAGCATTACATATAAACCTGGCAGTCTATATTCACCACAAGTTGCTTGCATTCTCCTTCTCAAATCTACTATTTCTTCAGTAACTGGAATAAAAATGGAGTTGAAGTTGCACTATAACGCAGCACTAAAAAAAGTATTCCAAATCAGATGCAAACAGGAAAATGTTTACAATCATACAACTAGTGAAATTCCCACTTCATTTCAAAGTTTTAGCCCTGCAGATTCTTTTTAACACAAGGCAGATATGTAGATTCATGGAAAAACATAACAGACTGCTATACACTCTCTACAGTAATTACATAAGTTTCACATTTATGTCACAAATGTAATGCCCTACTGTGTAACTACTGAATGCTAAATAATTTATGAACATTTATGTGCTCTATGCAACAGTGAACATATTGACCAGTGGATGCCAAAATATAAAAGTTCATACACAAGACAAACTAATTTTTAAAAAAATCACATCTTCTGTACAACTCATGCAAACTGTGCACAACGTGGTAACAAGAACAACATTTGCTCGAGCCTCCCCTTACGGAAGAGCTTTTACAGCGACAGCAGACCAGTGTTGAGAGCAGCCTGCCAAAGTGTAGAAGTCCATGGCGACACAAACGCAGAAACTCTTTCAGGATTTCACTTCTCTTGTAGCAACGCAGGGATGTTGATGTTCCACCCGATAGCCTGACGATCAAACCCGCACGTGAAGAGGTTACATATGGGATGGTCCTCACACCAGGCGGAGCAGCAAACCATCCTCCTGTGCCCCTGTGACAGGCGGGAGACAGCAGGTTACCAACAGGGCGTTTGGAGACCTCTGTGTCAGCAAGGTAAACTTGCCCGTGCTCATCCTAGTTTCTACAAACAGTTATTGAGAATCCTAAAGCCATCGTTACCTTAATCCTTACAAGATCCAGCACTGGATTGATAAGGACAGAAGCACAAAAAGACAGAAGACAGGTGCATCTAAACTTTTGAGTTTTCCAAGGTGTGTTTGCTATCTAGTTACCTTTTATTTCCAAAAGCAAATCGAATTGTGATTTCAGAACTTTTATTTATAAAAGCAATCTTAAAATACTGAACTACTTGCCAGCAACTGCGCTGTTACAAGCCTGCAAGCATAAGTGTCCATCATGTTCATAATTCAGAAGGGATAATACTATAGCAGGAGGAATATCACCCTGAGGAGAAGTTCAAGTCCAATGGTAACAAAAGTGTCCCAAATAGGATTCTGACCAACACATAAGTTAAAAGATTAAATAAATAAATAGATAGATAAATAGATAAATAAACTGGCCACGGTTTCAGTAGTATCAGTCTGAATGGAACTACTAAGGAAAAAAAAAAACATGCACATACACACAAAAAACCCCTCAAGACTACAATGAACTAAAAAAAACCCTAAATCAGAAAAATCCTAAAATAGACTAAATAAGTCTTAAAGCTCCTTCCTCAATTCTGCCAAGAACTGCTGAATCAATCCAAAAAACACCTACTGAAGTGGCATAATCCAATTAATTTCACTTAGTGAAATTTTCTCCATTAGTGATGCTTGCCATGCTAAATAGCACCACAGATGCACAAAGCCTGATGGGTGCAGCAAGGCTTGTTTATTATGTGGTACTAAATATCAAGAATGTACGTTCATAAGGACGGAAGAAAAAGAAAAAAATTAAAATTTATCACCAAATTGTAAAAGGTGAGCTCACAAAACTGACCCCCACTTTTTCCTTCTGTTTCTGTATCGTGAAATCATAGAATGTAAAGGACCTTACAGATCATCTAGTTGCAACCCATCTAGCACAGGCAAGGACACTTTCCACCAGACATGGTTGCTCAAAGCCCCATCCAACCTGGCATATACAACAAATTAAACTCTGTGTAATTAAAAAAACCCAAAACACAAATACAAGAAAACCATCGTTAAATCTCATAATGAGCCACTTTCCCGACACAATTCACATCAAGGCATTAAAACATACCTGAAAGGCTCTTACACACTCCTTCCATTTTCTTTAGTAAGGAGAAAAATTACAAAATACACTGGAAACATTATTTGCAATTCCAATTAAAAAGTTCAAAATGTTTCGTGTTTGCGTGTCAGTTGTTTTCAGTAACCAACTGCAGTGCGTTCATTTAGACAAGTGTTGCTCAGGATTTGTTCAGCTTTTAGGCTGGAGAGCCCAAATCCTGCTTTCAACCTTGTGTGAAATAAGAGCAGGCGTAATTTAGGGCTATAAATAGCCAGTTACCTGTCTGTTACTGCGGGGGAGCCGCGCTAATCGCACTCCTGACATGTCGAACAATCTGACCTGTCGGTTGTCATGTGGAAGGGCGATGATTCTTTGGCCAACACATACGTTAATCCTGCACAGAGGAGACAAAAGTAGGTTATGCCCAAAACAATGAGCCTGGCAAATAGAACTTGACAGCACAAATTTAAGCTCATGGGAATGGACGCGGCTGAATTTTTCCTGGTTAGAATTCACAAATGGAAAGAGGAAAAAAAATATTGAACCGTTAAGGTATTTTCTATTGTACCAGATCCTCAAACAGCCTTAGCATTTGCATCCCATATAAAAAAAACTCAGAAAAACAATGCCATGTATTTACTGAAAATTAATGCTGACTACATGTGCATTTTATAAAACCATTTCAGACCTTTCTCAAATTCTTACCAAATTCTTACGTTCTCAGGGACTACAATTAAATGTATATTCAGTGAATTAATAAAATAGACTATTTCAGTTGGCAGGTATCTGCAACAATCATCTATTCCAACTGCCTAATCAATTTAGACCTGACCAAAGTTTAAAACATGTTATTAAGGATATTGTCCAAATGCCTCCTCAAGACTGGTAGGCTTGGGGCATCGACCATATCTCGAGGAAGTCTGTTCCAGGACTTGACCACCCTCTTGGTAAAGAAACTGTCTAAACCTCTGTGTTTCAGCTCTGAAGCATTCCCACAGGTGAAAGAAATGAAGAATTAATTAAGAAGGTGTGAATTAAGAAAAACAGTAACTCAGAGGTCTGCTTACCTGTTGACTGCAGAATCTGTACGGATTGTTGCAATAGGAGACCTCATGTTTTTCAAATCCCAGACTTTTACTGTACGGTCATCACTACCAGAAACAACATTGTCTCCCACAGTGAAAACTGCAGATGTCACAGTGCTAAACAATCAGGAGTAAAGAGAAAGACATTAAGCTCTAAAGTGCTTTGCTACACTAGCATCTGATTTAAAAGTTGTAGTTTCTGTTGTGTGTTTTCTTTAACATATGTCTTTCTTATTAAAGTAACCTGAAATATTAAAACTCCAAGCGGGTATTTTTGAATTAAAAGAAAATATATTCTTACAAGAAGCTATGAACTTAAGGTAAACAGGGCTCGACTGTTCCAATTGCTAAGAGAAGCAGCCCAACACTAGAGACTCACTCTGGAGGCATCTTTCATATTACACTGATCCTGATAAGAGCATGTAAACCTTAATTCACTTTTGAAGTTCCGCACTAATGTCCAGTAGGGTTATCAGACAACCCAAACTGAATTAGTAATACAGAGTACCATTCTTCCTCTAAAGTGTCTTGAGACCAGTAGTCAAGTTCTTTTCTTTTCATCCAAAGACTTCCGTACAACTACTCCAGGTATTTGTCACTCCCTGCACAGGAACCAAGGAGATCCCAAATACCTACCTGAGGTGTAGCTGAAGCTATTTTGTACACACGCATAAACATGCTGTAATCCACACACAGAGCCTCCAGTATAACTCCACTGCCAATAACTACAGCAATCTAACAATTTCTAATTGTGATTACTATTCCTGTTTTACAAGCAGATAAGTCTGAGAGTCAGATGAAAAAATGGCAAAGAGTAGTAGGAAGCACGACCATACAGTTCTTTCAGATTTTACCCATTATGTCTATAAATGTACAAGAGGAGTGACAGAAAGACTCATGAGAATATTTGTAGAAACTGAAAGTCCAAAATACTACTTCCAGAAGAGATTCTATAATTAATTTTATTTTAGAATTTTATTATCTTTGTATTTTATATTTTCAGAAGACAGTATGCTGCTGGGCTCAAATGACCAGTTTTCATGATTAGTCTATGGTGGGTTATTTTAATCTTTTACCTTTACTTCAATTAAAAGCTTTTTACTACTTCTTTCGTGGTAATTGTGTGAATTCCCAACCCATAACCAGTTATTTTCTGCCCACATAATGTACTAACAAAGCACTTCTGTCTCTCCCTACAATCATTAGGGAAGGCTTCTCAACTCCGTTTCTACGGATTTGATTTAATGACCTATCTTGTAACTTGGGTCACGCACATCAATTTCTTAGAATTTAGTAATTTTAATTTAAGTTGTCAGTTGTTGCTGTCACTTTTGTTGTTCTGCAGAAATTTGAATTCATGTCCTATCCAAGCTTCTGATTGAGATTAGCACAAGCCAGGTCACAATGGACCAGTTTATGCAAGCCTCTTAATTTAAATTGACACCAAATTAAGATTTAATTAGGATGAAGGCCCACTTTATTCATGATACCAAGTTTCCTAATGCATTATTAGAGTGCAGCTAAGCTACCAGGGAGATGATTACAATAAGAACCAAGAGGTCTTTGACTAATCTTCTGTACTTTATGAGCCAGAAGTCAAAAAGTTAAAACACACATGAAGGCTACAACTACTAAATCTCTTTCATAAGGCACCTTTGCATTTGGGAAGAAAACTCACTCATGTAGTTCGAGTTACTGCACAACACAGTTGGCATTTCTTAGCACCAGACTTGTCTTCTACCAGCCCAACCTCCTGTAAACTTACCAGCATCTGCATTTCTCTTCTCACTAGCTCTTTACACAAGCTGCAAAATACCTCAGAAAAATATTTCAGGCTTTCCCTTAACTCTATAATGCTGCAACACATTTGAAATACTGTTCTTAAGATTAAAATTCTCTATTCAATCTCTCTAATTTGCACACACATTGGGAGACTTCCCTGTACACAACAGTATAAGGAATTCAAGTCATACAAAATTCTCCAGGTGAGTGAATATACTGTGCTTTAGTACTGTGCTGCCAACAAACACATCTGATCTGTTTTCCCATCGTACATTTTATTCCAATTACAGCTGGAATATGTTGTGAAACTGTCTTAAAATAACCCTCCAATTCTGTGTGCTTTCTTTTTCAAAACTTTAAACAGCTTTCCAGCTTCTTTGATCTCATATTGGTTCTCCTTTATCACTTATCACTTTCAAACATGGTTTCTTTGACTACATAAAGTTCTCTAATCCTTAGATTTATAATTTTTAAAATGAAAACACTCAGAACTATTGCCATGAGAACAGAATGTCAGCCCTAGGTTAGTTTAGCCCTTCCTGCTCCTGTAAAATGAAGACTCTCAAAAGATAACAAAATCCTTTTCTGTACTGTTTTCAGCTTATCCATTCAGATATTACTGCATACACAAAGGAAAAAGTTTGTAAAATAAAAATGCAATTCATTTCTGCTGTAACTCTCTGGCAACAGGGATAGAAAGTGATAGCAAGGCAAAGGGAAGGTTGCTGGTGTAGTTTCACTGACAACTTCAAAGGTGTTTAGTGGTCTTAGCCCTCTGTCCACCCTCAGTTTGTCCCTGTAAGGCACTGCAGGCTGGGATGTGCATTATTTGCAAGCACATGTGACTATGGAAATGGCTTTTTACATATGGAGCTTTGCAATTTTTACTGTTTATGATCAGGGATTTTGGCCCCAGTTCCAAAGCAAACAGTACATGGATGTCTGCATAACATTTCCCAAACACTGTGCTTTTAACAAAATGAAACAAGACTCTTCTAGGAGAACCTGTAGATCCACTTGATTCAATTCTCAAATATATCTCATTTTCAAAATAAGATTGCAAGTTTTATGTGACTTAACAACAAGTCTAGAAAGGCCAAAGCAGTATCATTCTCACAAACCTGACAACTCTAGGGAGGGTTATCAGCACTTCATTGTCATCTGAGTAAAGACCAAGTGGTTTTTTGGCTGGTTTGTTGTTTGGGTTTTTTTTTAAATAAAGTGGAACATATTGAGTTCATATTTAAAAAAACACAGACATGTAAATTCAAAAACATGCACAACGCTACTGACTTAAGAAAACAAGCAAGTGCTGAGCTCATAAATCTTACACAGTACAGATCATGTTTTGTGTCCTCCGCTGTTCCACACTGAGGTATCTCCTAATCTCACCAATTTTTTTCTTGGTTTTTTTTTGTTTGTTTGTTTTAATTAAAACAAAATAGCAACAAGAATAAAAGCCACTTTCTACTTATAAACTAAAACAGGACTTCAGCTAAAGGGGGAAAGGGAAGCAAAGTCTGTGTGAGAAGAAAGGAGTTAACAGAGCTGCCAATACACAAATAACCTTTCAAAAGTATTGCCGCCCTAACCCCATCCATATCACAAAAATTAAAAGCCTTTTCCCTAATTTTCATGTGGCTACATTCAATTTCTGTTTGTATTAGTCTTCAGTTTGTTCTAACCCAGATAAAACTCTGGTTAACATCCCCTTGACTAAATTAATAAAAAGTGTCAACAAAAGATCATCAGACCCCATGTTAATTGAATGCTAGAAGACATTAGGTTTTTAATAACTCAAAAAGATGACAGGTATTGTAGGACATTAAAAAAAAAAAAAACCAAAACAGGCAAAGAGGAAGCAGTCTTATGACACTTCAAACTGTGGGTCCCACAGGGAGTTTGGTGTGCTACAACCATTCTCCAAAAAAGCCTCAGCCTCCGCCAAACCCCAGCAAAACTCATTTATCTTGTCATAGGGAGCAGCCGAGCGTGTACTTCCAGCTGACAGCGTGGCACTTCCTCACCACACACCGCTGCCTGGCCTCGCACATCCTGCTCCCTCCGTGGGTCTCAATCACCAGAAATACCGCGGTGCTCGCACTCCTCATTAGGCCGAACAGCTGTCTCCCCAGTCACACTGAGACACAAAACTGTTTTGCATAACAATCTGCTGAAATTTCACACATAGGGGAAGGGGGGAAAGGAAAAAACACGTTGGAAATGTTGGACCATGAAATGCTGATGCAGAACCCTCGCTGGCAATGCACCAAAAAAAGAAGTTAACACTGCTCTTTCTGTTTTGATTTGCAACCTAAAACGGCATTTGCCATTGAATGCTGGGAGACAATATGTTTTTGCACCCTTGAAAAGGCATCTACATACACACATCAGTCTGGGTGTGGGATGAAAATAGACAAAACCAGAGTTTTCAGATAAATTTATTCAAGGTACATCATATTGTAGGTAAACAGCAAAGTTTGAGCACTCAAATATGGGTCTCTTGTTTCAAGGTGGAAAATTCAGAACCAAAACCTAAAGGAATTTCTATTTATGATGACACTTCCTGCACCAGGGGAACAAAGTGTATCCCCACACTGAGCCATCTGCAGCCTGAGGGGAAGCCAGGACCTGTGTTTAAAACCTCCAGACACGAACAACAGGCTGCCCATCTCACAAGGAGTTGTCGTTGGCCACAGGAGTTCCAGGTAAGGAGAACACCAGGACCTCCACATTTGAGTGCATTCAGGTTTCAGAAGGGCTAAAAGCATTTGATCCCAGGAGGAGCTACACATATAATTGCCAAAGTCTGCCTGTGGATTTATATCCAAATATCAGCAAAGCCTTTTTCTCCAACTTGAGAAACAGTAAGAATGAACCATGAAGGAATTACAGAATCACAGAATCAATTAGGTTGGAAAAGTCCTCTGAGATCAGAGTCCAACCTTGGACTGAAAACCACCATGTCAACTTGACTGCATCACTGAGTGCCACGTCCAGTCTTTCCTTACACACCTCCAGGGATGGTGACTCCACAACCACTCTGGGCAGCCCATTCCAATGTCTGATCATCCTTTCTGTGAAGAATTTCTTCCTAATGTCCAACCTAAACCTCCCCTGGTGCAGCTTAAGACTATGTCTTCTTGTCCTGTTGGTGGTTGCCTGGGAGAAGAGGTCAAGCCCCCCCTGGCTACAACCTCCTTTGAGGTAGCTGTAGGGAGTGATAAGGTCCCCCCTGAGCCTTCTCTTCTCCAGGAATTAACACAGAAGGGAAAAGGAGGGAATTCAGAGATGACTGTTAGCACTCGAGTCATTTTTTTTTAGCATTTAAATCA